GCAGGAGCTGCATGCCAGGCGCCTGTACGCGGCCGACGTGTTCGTGCACGAGATCCCAAAGCCCACGTGGCTAAAGTGGACTGCACAGCCAGCTCAGAGGTGTGCTCTGCCCAGGGGGGTGTGAAGATACTCCACCTTGAAGTTTTTCAAGCCTGGCCAAGAATCTGTGAAGTACCAAGGCCCCCGCCACTTCCAGACACTGCAAAACTGTATGCTGCAGATGCTGAGTGAGGAGGCCCCCACACCAGAGCCAGAAGTAGAACCACCTAGAGCCTCTGAGCTCAAGCAGGGGCTTTATGACGTGTGATGTGAGCAACTTTCAGCTGCCCATCACACAGGGTGACCACTTTATCAAGTTCTTCGCTCCATGGTGTGGTCACTGCAAAGCTCTAGCTCTGACCTAGGAGCAGCTGGCTCTGTGCCTTAAACATTCTGAAACTATCAAGATTGGCAAGGTTAACTGTATGCAGCACTATGAATTCTATTCAAAAAACCAGGTTCGTGACTTTCCTACTCCTCTCTGATTCTGAGATGGTATAAAGATTGACCAGTACAAGGGAAAGCAGTATCTGGACCACAGAGAGAGTATCTGGAATCACAACTCCAGAGTATGGACAGGGGTGTCCCAGAGACCGTCCAGCCCTCAGAGGCCTAGGTGCTAGCACCATTGGAGAAGGAATAACTTTCATCCAGTTTTATGTTCCGTGGTGTGGTCATTGTAAGGATCTGGTTCCTACTTCGGAAGAATTCTAAAAAGAAGTTCCCTAGTTTGGCAGAGGTCAAGATCGCTGAAGTGGACTATACTGCTGGGCGGAATACAGAGGTGGGCAAGCGTAGGTTTATAGTTGTGAGTATGCAAAACACAGTTTATTCTTCTATTATTATTTGTTAATTATTGTATTATTTTCCATATGAACAACTGTAGACTTACTTTTACCCACCCCTGTATTTGCAGCAAGTACTCTCAGTACGAGGCTATCCCACAGTTACTTTTCCACAGAGGAAAAAAGTCAGTGAGCACAGTGGAGGCAGAGACCTAGAATTGTTGTATCACTTTGTTCTGCAACAGGCAAAAGATGAATTATAAAAAGGCAGGCGCAAGTCGCCTATCCTGCCTGGCCTCCTGGGCCCAGTGTGAAGAAGCTAAATCATGCAGATGCTGAGTTTCAAGTGGCGGTTATTCAGATAGGTGAATGTACTAAACTTGTGGTATCTTTGTGTGTTTTTTAAGCCAACACGCTCTACAGATTCTTAAGTTTCTTTAAACATGTAACTATTTTCAGTGGCAATCTATCATCCTCTTTAACCTTCTCTTGATGAAACCTTAAATGGTTTTCTTTGAGACTAAAATAGAGTTGAGGAAAATCAAATTGCTGGACTATTTTTGGCTCCTGAATGATACTGGTGAAAGCATCATCGAAAGCATAGTTTTTGAACTGCTCATGAGGCTGGACAGGTGGCCATGCGGCAGTATTGATGTTCCTCTGATCTGTAGGTCACATCGACTTATTAATAATGTGGTTGGTCTGTAGCTTGGAGCAGATTTAAAAACAAAAACCTCATTAACTCTGGAAGATACCTTCATGGCCACTCCTGGGTTTTGTTTCTGTTAATACTTCTCTCATCACGAGAGGCTTGCCATGAGGAAAGCAATGGTACTTTTGACATGGACCTGAGTAAGATAATGCTGACGCCATAATCTTATGTGTGCATTCATATTTGTCAGATAGTGTTCAAGGGATACTTCTATTTGTTTCTCATGGGTGAAAGATTTCATTAATTAGGCTAATATGAAGTCAAGATCCATGTAAAGATTCTTAAGATTTTTTTTATATTTTTTTATTGATTTCAGAGAGAAGAAGGGAAAGGGAGAGAGATAGAAACATCAATGATGAGAGTCATTGATCAGCTGCCTCCTGCAGGTCCCCTTCTGGGGATCGAGCCCGAAACCCAGGCATGTGCCCTGATCAGGAATTGAACTGGGATTTCCTGGATCCTAGATCAATACTCAACTGCTGAGCCATGCTGGCTGGACAAAATTTTTAAGATTTAAAATCCATGTTTAAGAGCCCTAGAGTTTGGCTCAGTGGTTAGAGCATCAGCCCTCGGACTGAAGGCCCCAGGGTTCAATTCTGGTCAAGGGCACATACCTGAGTTGCAGGCTTGATCCCGGGCCCCAGTTGGGGTGCATGTGGGACCCAACCAACTCACATTGATGTTTCTCTCTCTCTCTGCTCTCTGAAAAGCAACAGAAAAAATATCCTTGGGTGAGGATTTTTTTAAAAGTTTATAAAAAATAAAATCCATATTGAAGTCCATGTTTAAGATTTGATGTCTCCCATGGAAAATGTAGGCATGGAAAATTCCACAAGGCTTGTTCTGACTATTCTATTAACTTGTAGAAAGATTATGGTTATGTCTGCAAGAGGACTAGAGAAGATTTTCCAGGTCCTGGTATTGGGGACCAGGGCAACCTTGCAACCCCACTACAGTGCCCTAATTGGAAGCAGTTTCCGTTCTGCAGCTAGGTAGTCCTTTTAGAGGCTCACTGTACATCGTCTTCCTTCACAGAGGTTAACCATCATCTTTATGAACAGTGGGATTAACTTGATCTAGAAACCGAAGAAGGAAATAGGCAGGACTGAGTCAGAGAAAAAATAGGCCATGCTACCATCAACACTAGCATCCTTATAATTCATGCCATCCTGGTTATTAAACATTTTTACTATCACCCTTGGAAATAAGCAACCATAGATTTAGGCTCCCTTAAGATAGCTAAATGTATGTTCTTTGCCATCGGTTTGTTTACACTATGATACTCTCTAAATAAACTTTAAAGAAAAAAAACTTGGGTTAAGTCAGCATTCAAGCTCAGCCATAACCAATTAACTAAATTCCAGTAATTAAATATCCCTTTGCTGTATGGACGATGGCTTGTCCAAAGCTATTTGGGGTTGAGTTATGTGGCAGGCATCCAAAGGAAGTAATCTTGGCTTCCGAAAATATCCCCTGAAGTCAGATCTGTTGTTCTGTATAGCAGGTGGCAGGGTGAAGCAAGTTTATTCTCAGAAGCTGCCAAATTTATTTTGAGTTCTTTCAGCTCTGATAAATCGGCCTCGAACTCTTTATATAAAATTATGGGGTCCCAAATTATTGAAAGTGTTGGGAAATACAAATTATGCTCACAGACTATATCTTTAAGTCAAGAAATGCCCTGAATACTTGTCCACATTTACTGGGGTTAGGAAATGTGATTAATAATCAAGAATAACTTGACTAAACTGCTGTGTGCAACAATGGCAAAGAAGTAAGAACTTATTTTGAAAGTTTAATTTTGCATGTATAACCCATTTTTAAGAACTTTATATTGTAAAAATTTTTCAAACATACATAAAAATCAAGAGAGTAGTATAAATGAACTTATGCATCCTTCTTTCAGCTTCAGGCAATTGGGTACTTTAAATACTACCTTCAGTTGCCTCACTTTTGGGGGTAGTATTTAAAGTACTGTACATCCCAGGCATCCTACCATTTCATCCATAAGTTTCAGAATGTCTTTAACAGATGATGACTTTTTAACATGACCACAGTACTGTTATCACCCCTAACAAAATTAACAATAATTCCTAACATCTAGTTGGCTTTCCCTGTTGTTTTATGTTTTCCCCCCTAGCCATTTATTTATAGTTGGTTTGTTTTAGTTGGATGATATGCCTTTAAGTCTCTTTTAACTTGTAACAATTCTTCCTGGCTTTATACATATATATATATATAATCGTTGAAGAAAGCTAAGTCATTTGTTTTGTTGGATTTCCCATATTCTGGATTTGTCTGGTTATATCTTATCCTCATGATGTCATTAATATGTTCAGATATCCCTCAGATTTCCTCTAGAGGCTTGATTATATTCAGGATTCATGGCGGGTGGGAGTGGGGGCAAAAATACTCCTAGGTAGCACTCATTACTTCCGGTTGCATCCTATCAGGAGGGAAATAGTGTCTGCTTGTCTCCCTCCTGGTAATGTTTATTCGGTAAGCTAACCTGATTCTTTAAGATTGAAATATTTGTCAATTTTTCCTATTCTCAAGGGCCACTTACCATCTTCCAAAACTTTTCAGTTGACAGAAGGTTGGTATGTAACCCACAATGTGTTCTTCTCTAAGAGAAATAATCCATTATTTCTTACTTCTTAAGTACTTTATCATTTTTCTCCAGTTTCTCTAAATTTGGTGTACTCTGTATTGAATTACAAGAGCCATAAT